ACAAATTTTAGGTTTTATTATCATTAGACATTTTGACTATGTTCTGGTACACTCTATTACACTATATGTTTGGCCTTCATTAAAATTATAATTCATTTTTCTCTTTCTTCTTATCAATCACACATTTTTCAATAAAATAATATTACACATACACCTAAAAAAATTTCTCTTTTTAACCACATTTTCTTTAAAAAAAATAATATTCCAAAAATTAAAATGGCAAATAATGAGGGCCAAACGGGAGCATAAAATCATTCCAATACAACATTTTGGGGTTGACAATAGCTGTATTATTTTTTCAGGTTTGTTAATCCTCATTCCTCCTATAGTCATTCGTATTAAAATAACTCATCCAATGATGTATGCTTAGATAGTATTATTTATTACTTGTAAATGAAATGATAAATAATATAGAAAATATTGTATGAGTTTACTTTGTTGATTAATTTGACAGAAAATGAATAAAACAGTAAGTAGGCTGTGAAATTGATAATTTCTTTATTAACTTATGAATGTATTTATACATTCATATTAGAATACCTCATAATGCGGTTCCTCCTGATCTTATCCCTTCTAATGCTTAAGCCTAATTTACGTGTACCAAACATGTCCTTTAAAAAAATAAAAATGAGATGGTTCAACATTCTTGATCATTTTCCATTAACAATTCACTACAATGGAAATGCTGGACAGATTCAGTGTCGGTCAAATAAATTTTGAACTTGTTTTTCAATGATCAAGAATTTCAACATAAAATGGATGTTAAGAAGGAAACTTTAATGAGCAAGAACCGAAACCAGTCGTTTACTTTCCCAAAAACAAGATAAGATGTTGCAATTAATCTTTATTGTCTGGACTATATGAATTCAGAAATAATACTTTTGACTTGTTTTTTGTCTGAAGCAAAGGGAATAATACTTTGGATTAGCTAGCTTTTGTCTTACGTATAATACATCACCTCATTTCAGAGATGTCACGAGAAGCTAGTATTTGGAAAAATCGTAAATCTAATCGCCCATCAATTCAAATGACATTTGACTTGGGATGGGATAATTTCTCGTGACAGTCAAGACAGTTAGTATTAAGTTGTGAAATTTAATTATTATCATTATACAGAGTTTATAAATAGGGACCTGTCATTAAGGTTTTGAATAATTGTTATCGAAAAGAAAATATTAAAGAAGATAGGGTATGCAATTTTCTCTTATAAACATTTTTTATCATAGTGTTGCAACGATAGAAGAAGACGTTGTGTTTGGAACACATTCTTTTGAAAGAATGTATTATTGAATATAGATTGATGGAGAATGTGTGGTTAAAAATGAAGGAAAAGTTATTGATGTGATGAAAAATATTATTTTATTGAAAAATGTGTTGTTGAAAATGTGTAGAAGAATGAGAATGAAAAAAAGAATTTGCACCAAACAGGGCCGTAGTCTCACATTCGGACGAATCTTTATAAAATTGCATATTCTTGTACGTCTATTTTTCTTTATGTGAATTAATTATTCTCAATGAAATAGAATTAGGGTTACTAATCCTGAACAATTAGAGTCGAATGAAATAAAATATATTTTATTAGAAGTAAGTTAGCATAAGATTGACACCCTTGTTTGTGAATATGAGATTTAAGTGATCTTCTTACAAGTAGACTATGCCCGTTTTCTATAGTGACTTTATACTATAATCAGTTTAGGTCAATTTGGAAGTCCCGTATGTGTACATGAATGATGGACAATTATTTCCAATGGCGTATTATTCAAGTCGATTTAATAAAGAAATATCCAATAAGTAAATTGGTAAATTAAGATAAATTACCGATACGACATTTATTAATTCTTATTTCCGACCAAATTACGGAAGTACAATGTTCTCCAGTATCAAATTTCATTTTTAACTACACATATCATAAGACTAACACTTTTATTAATTTTTTAACCACACGTGTCATTAACTTTTATTAAAATATGCAAAAACTTTTATCAAAATCTTCATCAAACTACCCCTTCGATTATTATCGCTCGATTAGAAGACTTTTGATTTTGCATCTAGAGATGTATAATGCATCTTACAGATGACTGCAGATGATGCATACACGTATAGCGCATGCCACAAAACATGGTAAAACTGTCGGAATTTATATTATTCCGATCTGTCTTTGTTCAATAATGTGTATAACACTTGCAGGCTTTGTAATAAATCCTTGTCCAATGCATCATATTACTTTATGCTTGAGACATCATGGAAGACTTATATTCACAGATGTCTGTTTTCCCATATTTCAAAGAGTCAAATGTGTGTTTGGTACATGAATATAATTACTAGTGTAATAAACGAATTATGTTATACGTCAAATATATTTTCTTATCCGTCGCAAGCCTTTGGCTAGCTTTGTTGAATGATCCGACAATTCAGAACTACAGTCCACCTTAACCATGCTCAACTTGCTTTGTTTCAAATTCAACCCTAAAATAAGGACAATGACAATCCTCAGCACCACAGAAAATTAATTAGTCTCACTTCTAAAATTTGCTGGCCAAATTAAACTTGAACTGACTCATCGCTATGGCTGTTTGGACCACCATGACTCTGGACATCACCGCCACAACCAAACCCACACGTACACATGACATGATACGTTGTTTCAAACTTTCAATTGAGAATAAGCGAAGGCACGCACATGCGTCTCTTAAATTCTCGAAGAGCCCTTTCCCTGTCTCACACGAATGACTAAGCTGTATCTATATCAGTCTAATCAGCCGTGCCAATTGATAAAAAACGAAAACAATGTGCAGAATTCTTTCGTGACACCATTTTTCTCTTGATTCGTAAGCAACCATTTTTCTACAAGTGCATAATTCTGAGGCATGGAAGGAAAAATGAGCAAAAGCTACGAACCAAGAAATAAATGTGACGTGCAAGAAAAATGAAAGCAGGCTATCTGCAATGTTTCATCAGGAAAATACTTTGTCCAGTATATCTGAAACCGTAAGTGTAAACTACCAACAAAAAGCTGAAGACATGAAGAAAACGGGGGGAAGAAATGAATAATGCTATTTGTAAGTCATGCTTAATAATAAGTTGTTCGTGTGACATTGGATCATTGCGCCAGATGAATGAAATCGAAAATCAAATTTATAGGAGAACGTGACAGTTACTTGAAGAATTCAATATATAAGAAAGAACACTAAGAATTACGTGGTTTGGCGTCAGTGTGGCAAACCTACATCCACGAGAGAAGAGAGAAAACTATATTCACTTATATTCGAAGTGTTACAATGATACATATATAATCATATTACAACAAGGTTAACTTATTAAATATGAGACAATCACGGAAAGAATATAACAAATTATAAAAAACTCCAATTATCATCAACCAATATTCTCCAAATCATGTCATAATATTTTCTTCAATATTAGCAAATATTCTTCAAATCACCTAATATCTCTCTTCTCCAACACTCCCTCTCAAGTTGGTGCGAAAATATCAATAGAGCCCAACTTGGACAATATTTCTTGAAATTTAGTAGCTGATAAGTCTTTGGTGAAAATATCAGCCAATTGCTCGCTACTATGAATGAAAGGAGTGCAAACAATCTTGACTTGGACTTGTTCTCGTATAAAATGACGGTCAACTTCAAGTCTAGAAAAGTTGCTATTTCATGCTCCAAGTCCTCAGAAGCCACAATTTTGTCCTTGTTCTAATCAAATGCCAAACTTTTTTCCCTACAACTATTCTGAAGTAATAATTTCATCCTCCAATTTTTCAGAATTGGCACTTATGCCACATAGCATCATTTCTCTCTTTAATCTCACCCTCTCATTGATAAGACCTATTTTTATGCAAATTGCATTTAAAATTCATTTTCCAATTTTTAACATATTTTAACATACCTAGAAATGTCATACAAGCTTCGACATGAATGAATTTGTAAGAAGTCTTACGCGCAAGACCATCGACAATCTTGATCCAATCCGTCTTTTTTGGCCTCCCCAACACACTCTTGATACGAAAGAACCTCCCACCATAGAGAAGAGACTGAGGTAACAAGGAAAGATGGATGCTATTCGGCCAATTGTTAGTAGATGATACGTTGCAAGTTGTTAATGATTGGAAAAAAATGTTCCACCCAAGTCAATTTTTAAATACATTGACAAAAATCGAAAAACATTATGAGTATAGTGTAGACAAAGAGGGTTATCGAGTTAGGGTTCAAAGGAGGCTATAGAATGGAATAAGGACATCGGAGTTAAGAAATGTTTGAAATTATTTGTGCCAATTTCCGAAACAATAATAGTAAAGGCTATTTTAGAATGAAATAGCATGGTCCAAATTGAAAGGCACAAAATAGAAACGCAAAAGTATTATATACATGTTTATAAACACATTTTTCTAGAGATTCACAAATATTACAAATTTTTGGTTTTGATTTGGGATGGGCGGACAGGTTGGAATGGGGGTGTGGGGGTAGGGGGATTGGTTGAAGAAGATAAAGTGTTGTAAGAAATGAAAGGTTTGAGGAAAGTTCACTAGTGTTTCAAAGGTTGGAGGCTTTTGTTGCAATTAGTTCTTTTTTTTCTTTCTTTTTTTTTATTTAAATAGAAGGGTATATTTGTCATTTCACGAATTTTTATCAAGAAATTGGATAAAAATTGTGATTTCCGCAATAAAATGTGAAAATACAAAAAATAAAACGTATGGACATTTTGCTCGATAAACTCAAGTGTATGACGTGCTAAGATGAAATACATTGAAACCAAAATATATATATATGTAATAACAAGACACCCTAAACAATATATACATAGAAAATCAAGATTTATATATGTAATAATAAGACATCCTAAGCAACATATACAAAGAAAATCAAGATGTGTCTGAAAAACAAAACGAAAACAGTACATTGTACACCTAACAAACCATTAGGACAATGCAACAAACACCAGTACAAGAGTTCAACAAAAACCTCTACCTCTCATATACTTCTAATATCTATTCAAGGGTATCGTTTCCATGAGTTGTCCTCTCGATTGTTTCTGAACGCGCAGCATCCAATGGAGTAGACGATTATGAGAAAGACGAGGAATATGATGTTGATAACAGCAACCCTCTTCCAGTCCCTCTTGATGTTATCCAGCAACCCGGCCTTGCAAGATTGGCAGCTATAGCACAAAACATTAGGATCATTGCTCCACGTAGTGCAGTCTGGATTCGCTAACGATGATTGAGGGGTCCTAGTCCAGTTGGTCGGGCTAACGTACTGGAAGTTGCAGTCATTCGATGGCTTACAGCAACCAGACTGTAAAAATGATACAAAGAACAATATCAGTAAGTTTAATAGAGAAGTCGGATTTCCATATACAAAAGGAAATGGATATATAACGCTAAATCGAAAAGGGAAAATCCCAGATCAGCCAACTAGTGAACACTGTTAGCAATTGGAATATCAGCGATAACTTCAGAAATAGCGGAACAGGACAAACAAGAAAAGTAGAAACTTATTAATTGCCAGCTTACGGTGAATCATCAGAATTATACTGCATATAATCCAGATCCAGTTATACTAACAAATATCTATACTGAAATTCTGTTCATAGCGACATAAAGATTAAAAGCACATGAAGATCATAGGAGCCGCTAGTCAATATGCGGAAAATGATATTTTTTTCTTCACCCAAAAAGAGAGATCCCCATTTTTCATACATACGAAAGTCAAACTAGGTTAAAAGTCCCCCAGCTTTTTTAAAAGCACTAGGCTTCAACAACAAAAGTAACAATTATAAATCTCATAGTAATAATATTGTGAGAGAACTATGAATTTGCATAACAAAAATCAAAATACCCAAAAATGAAACACCAAAAATCAGATCATAGTCCCAAATATACTGCAAAATATGTATGTTGCCTTTACCTGTAGAGAAGAGAGCTGTTTCCTGTAAAAATCTTCAACATTGTTGGAGGACCCATCATCCCGTAGCTTCTGGCAGGTCTTACTGTCCTGTAAACAACTCCTAATCTTGTTCCAATTCTTGTCACTGTTGACCCTTTTCTGCAGCCAATTGGAGTAATCCCCAAGCCTGTATTCCTTGTAACCTTTACCAGATATGGACTCTCCGGCCCCTTTGTTTGTAACCACAAAAGCAAAGATCGTGAAGCAAAATAACAACACAATTAACAAGAACATGACAAGGAGATAGACCCATAAAAGCCATGTAACTCTGCAACATGAGCCCACTAAACCTGCCAATGAAACCAGTAGTATAAACACTCCTAAAGCGATTACGGGTTTGTCTAGGAACCGCTCACACTCTGTGTTGGCTTGTTTTGAGAGCCATATGCCCCCTCCTATTATGGGAATTGAGAGCAAAAGTGTGATGAAATTGAGAATGCCCACCAAATTGTTACTCACACGTACCATTGTTCGTTTATCAGTTATCTTGATATCAGATTTTTCAAGAAAGTAAACAGAGAATGACTCAACAATATATCAGAGTACAAAAATCAAGAAGGCGGAGAATTCAAGAAGTGAAGAAAAGTGGGATCTGATATTAGATGAAGGAGATGAGACCTTTGTGATGATGATATATATGCCTACATCCGGTTGTACATGTACGTAGGGATTAAGAAGGTTCAAAGCAATGATGTGGAAGAAGAAGGAGAAGGAGAAGAAACCGACCCCCATACGACGCGTGGCACGTGGGCTTGTGAAATTACAGTTGAAAAGTCTACTTGCTTTGCGATTGGAGGATAAGAACATCTTATCTTCGGTTTTTAAACATTCGTGGGTCCCAGTTTCCGGAGGACGCTCTGCGTTGGCGTAACGGTCAATTTTTATATAACAGTGTGCTGAGAACGGAACGGGATTTATTTCTTGAATAATTATCGAAGTAGGTGAGATAATGATGGATATAACAAGTAGTGTGCTAAGATGTGATTGGATGAAAAAATTGAATGTATTTTGAAAATGTGAATTTACTTTTATTTTTTTCCTTCTTCGACCTATTAAAGAATTGGAAGAAAATAAATTAATTCTCATAGTATTTTGCTCAGTCGTATTTATTTATTTATTTATTTATTTTTGAGTACATTACACTTTAAGATACAAACCTGCTATCCGCTTAGCAATGATGATTTTAATTCTCTTCAAACGTGTTTTTAAGAAGATTGTAACTCTTCTTATAAAAGGAGCCTCGTTTATATAAATATTAAATACATTTCGAATTTACTTTTTCGACCTCCAATTACTCGATAATTTTCAGTAGTACAAATTTCAATTTTTATTAGCCCTAAAAAATTCTTTCACGAGATAATACATCTTTTTTTTCAATTTTCATGCTGAATGTGTGGTTAAAAAATAAAAGAGAGAAAAATATATTTTGAAAATAATAAAAATTCTATGATTGATTGGTATTAAACTATTAATATCAACGGCTACGAATTAAATTAGTTTTTCATCAATAAATAAGAGCTTGGTCCACTAATTATAAAACTTTTTTTTTTTTTTTTTGTAAAGAAAAATATAGGTTTTGTTACCTGTTGGACACTTGGACCCCTCCATTATTCACTTATTTATTGAGGAAAAACTAATTTAATTTGGAGCAATTGACATTAATACCAATCGATCATAAAAGAAAAATTCTGATACATTAGCTTCCTTCCTATTAAGCCCCTGTTTGGTTTCCATTCCGTTCAAAATATATTTTTCTATCTTATTTTTAATCACACATTTTTCAATAAAATAATATTACGTGCAAACCTAATTTTTTTTCTTATTTTTTACCACACATTACTTTATTCATTCCGTGATCATTTCTATTGACAAAAATCACAATATTTCACTTTAATTATCTCAAAATTATATATATAAATGTTTAAAAAAAAAGGTATATAAATAATTTACTTCATAGAAAATGCGAGAAATGAACTGAGTGGAGCAAATAAAACGTCGCCGTTGTGTAGAACTGTAGAAGCGGTTACGGCGACGGGATTTCGTCGGACGCGTCGTAGAAACTAGAAGCAGTCAAGCGCTTATTTTAAGTTTCCAATGTAAACTGTTAGTGGAAAACGCGTTGCGTGAGTGTCTTTTGTTTTGCACTTACGTTAGCTACTCAATTACACAATACTATATTATGATTGCCACCTTTAAAATAAAAAATATGTTCAAATTTGTTAGTACTTGGTATCACATCATCGCATTGACCAAATCAAAATTTTCATTGCAATAAAGATATTTTTTGCTTAAAAATTAATAATTGAATTTAATCACAAATGTTAAAACTTTGATATTCAAATTGAATAATTTAGTCATTATCAATCGTTGTACCGTATATACTAATTTAGGGATTACGAGTTGAACCTTGCTACTTGTACAAAAGAATTTGTACAAAAATGTTGACAAACCCTCACATGTGGGGAGACCCACTTTTTATTTTCAATTTTTTATTCATGTGGAGCCAGCAATCATGTGAGTGTTTGTCAACATTTCTGTCAAATTCTTTTTGTACAAATAGCTTTATTCTATTTAATATATCAGTCACAGAACTTTTTATAATATTTTTCAATTGTCATTGAATTTTAAAATATTACTATCCGCTTAGCAATGATGATTTTGATTCTATTCAAACATGTTTTTAATAAGATTGTAACTCTTCTTATAAAAGGAGCCTCGTTTATATAAATATTAAATACATTTCGAATTTGCTTTTTCGACCTCCAATTACTCGATAATTTTCAGTAGTACAAATTTCAATTTTTATAAGCCCTAAAAAATTCGTTCACGAGATAATACATCTTTTTTTTTCGATTTATTGGTTTTGTAAAGAAAAAAATATAGGTTTTGTTACCTCTCCAACGGGCAACGACCCTCCATCATGCTGAATGTGTGGTTAAAAATAAAAGAGAGAAAAATATATTTTGAAAATAATAAAAATTCTATGATTGATTCGTATTAAACTATTAATATCAACGGCTACGAATTAAATTAGTTTTTCATCAATAAATAAGAGCTTGGTCCACTAATTATAAAACTTTTTTTTTATTAATTGTAAAGAAAGCCCGTGATTACACGGTTTCCTTAAATCGAATTCGCCGCCTCACCGAAGTGTACGAGTTTTTGATCGGTTGGAAATTGAATGAAAATCAGTTTATTTCTTCAGAAAATCAGCAGCCTTCAGTTTCCCTTCGTCTTCAGTTTCGGTGCCATTACATCTTCAGTTTCCCTTCGTCTTCAGTTTTGGTGGGACGCGTCGTAGAAACTAGAAACAGTCAACCGCTTATTTTAAGTTTCCAAAGTAAACTGATTTAGTGGAAAACGCGTTGCGTGAGTGTCTTTTGTTTTGCACTTACGTTAGCTACTCAATTACACAATACTATATTATGATTGCCACCTTTAAAATAAAAAATATGTTCAAATTGGTTAGTACTTGGTGTATCACATCATCGCATTGACCAAATCAAAATTTTCATTGCAATAAAGATATTTTTTGCTTAAAAATTAATAATTGAATTTAATCACAAATGTTAAAACTTTGATATTCAAATTGATTAATTTAGTCATTATCAATCGTTGTACCGTATATACAAATTTAGGGATTACGAGTTAGGTCAAAGTGAACCAACCGAGGTGATGATGAACATTCGCAACTTTACAATTGTTGTCACTCAAATTTGTAATCTCAGACTTTAAAAGTGAGTATTCCATTGCATATCATCCTTCAACTAGTTCAAAATCGTACGTGATGAGCAAACAAATTACAGAATTCATTCAATGCATAAACCAAATATTTGATGGTTAGAGACCGAGTCAATAGGCCCCAAAAGAATAAATATAAATGATACTTATACAAGAGAAATGCACAAAAAATTTTACAGGTGCTGAGATGGCAACGCCTCGTTGGCTGTTTTAACTAATTTTTTTTTTTCAAAATCCAATGAAATGTTGCCATGTGGCATTCTGTACAACTCTCTGTAAATTTTCTGTGTACATGTAGCATTGCTCAAGAATAAATGATATGGATGAACGTTCGAAAAATAATTGAAACTCAAAGTTTGTCTTAGCCAACATGTTTATTGCAATGACAAAGCATTAGATTTGCCTTGTTAATCTATAAATAACCTGATAACAGCTTCAAACCAAAAGGTAAATGCACAACTAAGTACCAATGGATGCTTCGATTCTTGACATGGTTTTGCATTATAGAGGCCCTGGGAATGTTCCATTCTCCCTCTGCTCGTTCCACTTCTCAACCTGCAAGAACCAAAAGGGTCAATGAAAATTACTGATAAATTTACATAAAAGCAGTAGTGGATCAAGGAAAATAATAGATTCCACATAGGATAATATTTGTATGTATTTATCATAGAACCAAGAAACCAAAACTGTAAAATCATATTGCATCAATAAAAAAATTATTTATTGATGAGAAAGATCACCAGATTCTATTGATCGTCTAGGGAAATCAACCAAGTAGCATATCAACTCACCCATTCGCCAGGGCAGAGGGAACGATAGTACTTGGCAAATTTTCCACAATCACCAGATTCTTCTCCCTTAGCAGCCACACACCTGACATTAAAGATGTATTAATTAATTCCAGGTAAATAAAACTTAAATACACTTTTTTTTTCCAGAATCACGTATAGCTCAACTTGAGCTTCCTATTAAGTTTTTCCAGCCTTGCAGTTACATTTATCTATCAAAAGATGCAGCCTATATCAAATTTTCTAGAATTGTTTTTGGAACAACATGCTGCTGCTGCCACCGCGACCCCAAAAAAACACAACTAAAAGCTGGACATTAACATGCTAAACGTAGACAACGCATAATAAACTACCACAGATAACTTCTGTTGGAGCAAAAAGTTATTTCAGTTGACACCAGATCTATAAATTTTGTTTCAAGCTTCCAAAGTGATTGTGTTTGCTCTAACCATTTGTATGGCTCATTCAAGAATGCATGTTTGCTTCCAACTTGTAAAATTAAGATAGATATTCGATTATATAAAACATATACTGGCATCGATGGAAGCGAAATCATAATCTACAGAACATACATGGTCACACATATGCTACCCCTGGTAGAATACAATATACAACTCAAATAAACCAAAGAGATGCTAAGAAAACATCAGATTTCCTCAGTCATTTATCCAATGTCAGCTTCTACCCAATTTCATGTCATTTTGCCATAAGTAGCGATTAAGCCGATTAATTAATTTGGTGACACACCGTCAAAAGGTAACAGCCCCTCAAATTGGTAGCAAGAAATGAATTTTGCGTCAAAACAAAAAAACTTTACCTGTGAAACTCAATGTAGCGTGTGAAACAGTGTCGAGTTTGGTTCGTTGTTGGGAATCGAAAATCAGCAGGAGCAGTTTTAAGTTCAATCTGATAATAAAGTTCAAACAGACGAAAACAAAAATCCTTAGTGAGAAGGGGAACCAATAATTCCAAAATTAATATTCTACGATTTAACACTATATCCCAGTCGACCCAAAATCAAATGCAACCATACAGGATCGAGATGAAAAAGAAGAGGATGAATTCATCAAGCAAACCAGTACAAATTCGAGGCAAAAACATGTAAAATAAAACAAATGTATAGGGATGGCAAAAAAACCGACAAACTCGCGGGATAACCCGCTTAATCGGGTAATCGGGGCGGGGATGGGCAACAGGGGCCCCATCCTGTTTAATTTTTTTTTTTTTTTAGAATTCAATACTTTAAATGGAAAATTTCACGAAATTTCTTTAGTTCTAATAGAAAATGATATTTGTCTAAATCTAATAAATAGGGACAACAAAAAAAATTATCAAGAACTTTTAAAAAAATAATAATAATAAGCTGGGTAGTAAACGGGGCAAGGCCCGCCCCGCCTTAAAAGGGTAAGGGGCGGGGGATTGCTTGGCTGGGCAAGGCGGGGGCCGGACCGATCCCATCCCGGTGCCATCCGGCCCATCCCTACAAATGTATCAACTACAAGGCTGAGATATATAAACATCCAGAAATAAATGAAATATAAAAGGATAAACAGTAATTTAGCCATCTAATTTCATTAATCCACTGAAAGGAGGAAAACAAAAAAACAGAACAGGATGCTTTGACATTTACAGAATTATGCTTTGAAATGAAAAATCTAGACGCATACAACGTAAAATAAACAATGGGAATTAAAACATGAAAATTTTCGTAGGGATTTTTACCTCCGCCATTGAAGATGTAAATCGATTAGAGAAAGCCCTTCAAATCACAGAAAGTTCGGGTCTTTGAGGGGTAACTTGTGTGTTTGTTTGAGAATTTAACCAGACAAGTAACAAGTGTCAATTGGGAGTAATTACTGTCCGGTTCGTGACCAATGAGGAATCCCCTGTCTTTGATTTGGCAAAAATTCTTTTCATTCCAAACACAGTCGATGTGATTAATGTAGGATTAAACCATTTAGAGTCACTTAAATTATGTTTGTAACCCCGTTAAAAATGAATAACTTTACTTTTCATTTTATATATTTATTTTTAATTATATACTCACCTATGATTCATGCTAGAGCAATCACTGATAACATAATTTACGACACAATGCCACGTGATATTTCATCATTAAGCCCATGTTTGGCCCCCATTATATTACATTCCATTACATTAATTTTTTATCTCTCTTCATCTCAACCATACATTCATCAAATAAAATAATAATACACACAAATCAAAAACTTTTCAACCACACATCTCCCATCAATCACTATTCTAAAAATTATTTACCCCCCAAAAATTTAATTTAATGGGGGGCAAACAGGGGCTAAATTAGTTTTTCATTAAATTTGACATTGTATGATGTGTAGAAAATTAACATTCAACAAATAAAATAATAATACACACAAATCAAAAACTTTTCAACCACACATCTCCCATCAATCACTATTCTAAAAATTATTTACCCCCCAAAAATTTAATTTAATGGGGGGCAAACAGGGGCTAAACCATTTTAAACACAATTGACATTATCATCAAATCATCTGTTGCCAACTGAAATTCTATCATTATATTTGTTACAATTTTTCTGTCGAAGTAACAAAATTCATAAAATATTACACATAAATTTAAAAAATTTCTTTCCCTTTTAGCCACACATTTTCGTTAATTCATTATTGAAAACATTATTTTTCTAAAATAATGGCCATTAAACAGGAGTTTAATAAGCCTTTGTTTAATCCTTATTATTTTTAAAATATATTTTTCTCTTTCTTATTTTCAACAACAAATTCTTTAATAAAATGATATTGCACGCAAATTTAAAATTTTTCCTTATTTTTTAACCACACGTTCTTTATCAATCACTGTTCAAAATTGCCTTATTTGCCAAATAATGAAACTCAAACAAGGCCTAAATTTTAAAAGAATCCAGTACATTTTTTTTTCTTTCGTATTTTTGAATTTTTTTAAAAAAATTATTGAAATTATAATATGACGGAAATGAGAAGTTAGTAATAGTCGTGGATCATACAAAATGTGCGATTATAATTAATGTTTAACATTAATTATGAAATTATAAAGAAATTATAACATTTCCCAAACATGAACCTTGAATGTTTCATATTTACTCATATTATTTAGCTAAAAATCTATACAAAAAATAATTTATTTTATTTTGCCCTTATGTTTTCATTAGATTTGAAACGGTCTTTTTTCTCTCTTTTATTTTTTTTAATTTAGATAAGAAAATTATTTTTTAACTTGAGAGGAAATTTCGTTCTTTTCCATTTTTCAAAACTGGTTACAACTCAATAAGATTTTTCAAATTTAATTTTATTACTTACAGAAAAAGAACAAAATTAATCAATTCTAACTTTACAGTGCTTATTGGAATTATAATAAGAGAAATTTAATTTATTAAATTAAACAAAACATAAATGTTCAAATATTGAATAATTAAAATTAAAGACCAACATAAAGGAAGAAAAGTTATTAATTCAATTCAATAATTATATTTTTAATTTTATTTTCTTACTAGTAACCTTTAATCTAGTCAAAAAGTTTTATGGCATGTAAGCTCAAACTTAGATTCAGTTGGGAGATTGGACTTGTTCTTACAACCACCTATCCTGTAATTTCTCAAACTGGAGAGTTTATAGCAGATTCAGAGAATTGACTCAGTAAATTAATACCCCAAACAAACACTTTATTAATCTAAGTGTTTTAACATTAACATCAACAACTCCATTAACATGGCTGAACCAGAAAATGCTGCTAATCATCCACCTCCAGAGGCAGTGGCACTGACAGTTGTTGAACAAAAACCTGAAACCAAAGAAGAAATTCCTGATAATCCTCCACCTGTTGAACCAAAAAATGAGATTATGCAAGTAGTAAAATCACTTCATTCCAAGAAAATTGTGCTTCCAATAGCCCTACTTACTTTTCTTCTTTCTATTCCAATTCTGTTTTTAGGTATATGGTTGCTTTACATTCAGCAATATGATTGTGAAGGGCTGTTGAAAAACTTGTCCAGAGTGCAAATTGGGATTGGCATTGGCATGTTGATTATTTTCTTCCTAAGCAATGCTGTGATTTACACCAGGGCTAAGTTTCCCGTACCTGGTCTCGTCGTGATCATCGCGCTGATGATTTTGATGCTCGTCGTAGGGCTCGGGATCCTTGGAAAGTTTAAGATGGAGAGCCGAAGGATAGTTGCTTCACCTAAGTGGCTTGAACTGAAGGTGCATGATAGCAATAAATGGAATGATATCAAGTCTTGCTTATATGAGACGAGAACATGTAAGGATTTGATATCCAGATCGTATATGCTCGATACCAACGGTATCTCAACGAGTAATTTGTCCCCCGTTGAGGTAATATACCTCCATCATGTCTATTCACGCATCTATCTAATCTTGTTGACATATAATCTTATTTATCGTCTTATCCATTTTTTTATAATGGTCCTTAAATCAAAAAACATGCGTATATATTATCTTATTATAACTCTAAAGAAAGAACCCTGCTACTTGTACAGCTTTTTTGACAGCTTCTTTGATAGATGCTGAGGTGCTGCACCTCAGCCATCGATCTGTCAAAGAATCTATCAAAACATTTTTTTGTACAAATAAATTAATTCCCAAAGAAATTATATTTATCCTTTTCTTTTCTTCTTGTTTTGTATCTTTTCGAAGTCGGGATGCTGCATACCGCCATCAATATGCGAGATGGAGTTCGTGAATGCGACTTACTGGATAAGAGGAAACAAGGAGATTGACGGCACAATCCCATATGATATAGACTGTGATTTATGGCAAAATGATGAAACCATGCTGTGCTACGATTGCAATGCATGTAAAGATGGATATGTTAGGACATTAGAGGGAAAATGGTTGAAACTTGGGATTTTCCTCAGTGTCATGTCTTTGTTACTTATGATAGCGCATTTGTTTTTATTTGTCGCAACAATGTGGGAGCATGCAGGTTAGCAGCAGATTTTTGTTGGGCTCCTGTTATATTCTGGTTTTATTCTTTTGTCGTCCATTTCAAGAAATTATTTATTTTTTAGTTCTTGGTTTATGATGACATTTGTGTTACTTTCTAGTGTATTGCTCAAGAAATTTGTAGTTGAAAATGTTTCAAAAACCTTTCTGAACGCAGTTTGTTGTTTAATCTGTGCTTGTTCCTTTTTTTCCCCAAAAATAATTGAAAGGATAAAAACTAGCATCTTTGGCAAACTACGACACCAAACATCTCTTGGGTGCTCAATGGATGCAATAGTTCGATTCTTCCCTTCCTCCATGAAGGACCCAACAAATTAAAATCAGAAAAAAAAAAATGGCAAGAAAACCAGGAGGCGAAAGGGTAAAATGCATGTTACAGTGATAATGTTAAATCTTTGTACAGTTTTGATTCTAAGAGACATGTTGTGAGGAAGGTACAATTTACTGGAGAAATGAACTAATTAAGGTAGTATCACTAGTAGATGAATCTGATGCACATTCACCTCGGGGTATGAGAGATATCACGTGATCTTCCCCAACCGGGATTGACTGCAGGAGTAGTGCCACAACCAAAGGGAATCATTCCCTCTGCGACAGAAGAATTTCAATGGCATCTTATAAAGTGTAAACAAATTTCTACCTTAGCTTCATCAAAGAATGTTCCATCATGAACAGCCCAACAAATAATACAAAACTAGATAATTAGAGAAAAAATAAAATGGCAAGGAAAACGAGGAAAGAGTAATATGCATGTTACAGAAACAATGTTAATCTTTGCATACTTCGATTCTAAGAAACAAGTAGAACAACAGGAATCTACAATTTACTAAACAACAGAGAGAATTCAAATCGAGTGCAAATGAACTATTTGGGGACGTATCTCCGGCAGTTGTATCAGATGCACATTCACTGCAGAGTATGAGACATATCATATGATCCTCCCCAAGCAGGATTGACGTTGACGGCAGCAGTAGTGCTACTGCCATATGGAATCATTACCTCTCCCACAGCTCCACCACCCATGTAATGAGGTCTACCATAACCGTCCATAAAACCCACATTTGCATTTCTCGGATGTGGATGTAAAGGAGTTGGATTCATGTACAGACCACCATGTGGGGTTGGATCTACACAGATTAGGAAGTTCGCCATTAGTACAAATGGAAAAGAAGGGAGAATCCTAATTGAGACCTGAAAATGAGTGAAGCTGATTACCGTGTGCCTTCTTCTCAGCATTTAAAACCTCAGCACGCAGTCTTTCCACTTCTTCAACCATACCAATGAGGTCTTTCTCCATAATCTTCATCTGTTCCACTTTCTCTATGTTTAGACCTTTTTCATACTCAAAGGTCTTGCTGTGGTCCCAAACAATGAAGAATAGTTTCAATAGATGAACTACTATTGTCTGATTATAAATAACAAGAAATTGTAGTTAATATAGATACAAGGAAAACAGGGCAATCAGTTGATTTCAAACTATCTTCGGATATCTTTGTCTTTGAAATAGACTCAACTCACAATTCTCCAATAAATATGCAGGAAAGAGCATCAAAAATACCTACTTGCAAATTCATTAGATAACCAATAAATCATATCAAGTTACAATCCATTAGAATTTAAAAAAAATCTAATGAAGTCTATGAGGATTGTGAGAATGAGAGATCATTGAAGAAAATAATGGGCAGGAAAACGCTCACCGTAACCTCTGGTGTTCTTGGTTCAACCTATCGAGTTCAGCATTCATTTCTGGAAGGTTTTTCAAGTCATCACAGGCTTTGTCCAAATCCTGAGTGGCTTTCTGGATTTGACCGCTCAACTCTTGCTTAGCTGTCACCAAGCTCCGTGCTTCGAGATGGGCCTGTTGCAGGTCTTTCTTAACCCTCTCACCTGCTCTGATGTTAGCTTCCCACTTTGCAATCTTGTCCAACAAAATCCGAATTTGAATATCACCTTCTGTTTGTGTACTTCTTATATGTTCTCTGAGTTTCTCTACTTCCTGCTGAGCAGCTACAAGATCCTGCCTCAAGGCAATATTGGCAGATGTCAATTTACGATTATCCACAGAAAGTGTTTCTAATTCTGCTGCCTGTGAGACAAATTTATTATCTAAAAATGCAGGAGAAAGTGGTTCTGTAGGTCGGCGGGAAGCAGATAATGGATCATGACGCCTCATGCCTGGAGCATCTGCAGAACGTCCTTCATGTTCTAGTGGTATATTTCTTCTAGAAGTCATTTGAGCCAAAACCAACCAAGAGTAGAGAATCTGTCTGTTATTTGTCAAAGAATACAAAAAGAAACAAAAAATTATAGGTTACAATCCGTACTAAAACTAAAAAACAATTAGTAGCATTGTAATAGGACATCTAGGATCACAAAATAAGACATCTGACTGTAAATATCAAGTAGGCTCAAGTCAGATAGCACGCAGTCCCAGAATATTGTGCTCTTTAATTGACGTAGATCCAGGGTTCACTGAAGCCTTTGTACAGTGACATCCTGATCTTAACTATGGCGGAAATGTTCAGCGCTTCTCAAGACTGAGCAGCATTCTCATTGCAGAAGAGATATTTACAGAAAGTAGTCATTAGTAGCACTAAAAATTTCAAAATGTTTCATCACACATCTACAAAAATTTAGTCCATCTGTGACACAAGTATATCTGGGATTGTACAACTTAAGGAATAAAAAATACAATTGCAAAATTGAAATTATGTTAAATAGAAGGAAAACTAATTCTTATAGCACAAAAAACCTCCCAGGGCAAGTGAAGTCAAGCAAAACATTCCATTCAGCTATTCCTCTATGGACGAAAATCTCTTGTTTCGACCATGGGCTAGTGGAAAAGGTGTATGATCAGCTCAATGTTGCAGTTCTCATTCAGACTACAAAACGCTTGTATATGGATATCTCCAGTCCACTGAATGAATCAAGATTGCAAACCACAACTAGGTATGATTGACAGTATATTGAGAATATGTACTTCCAAATCACGTCATAGAAATGGAATCCATTGATTCAGGAATTTGTATGTACGTAACTCAATATGTGAAATGGAAATTTTGAGAGTAGAAAATCAGGGGTAAATTGGCATTATACATGCAAATCTGGAAGAAATGTAATGTTTGTCTTTTGTAATTTACCTCCATGTCCAGGAAGATAATGTCACGACTTGGGACTCATTGCCAGTGAGTAACTTCCTAAGTTTCGGAGGATTTGGCATTGAAAGCTTGACTCTTAGACCGTGAATAATGCACAGGAAAAGGAGTAAGGTCTAGTCATATAAAGGAAAATTATATTCCTATTTTGTGAAATTTACTCAAAAGTTGAGTTGATAAACTTAGATAACTCGCTGCCATGAATGGAAACATTGCCACTTGTCCCGTGATTTGCCCAATTTAAAATATACACAGCAAATATAACATGACTGGCCCAATTTAAAGTCAAATGATGGATGCAAGTATTATTCCCTTAGTCGTTTTACAAGAAACTGTATTTCCATACATACAGATACTTTCCAGCAATGTCCAGAACCTAGTACAAAATTCAGACACCCACATTGCAGGAAAAATCAAGATTATCTCATCGTCTCCGGTTTCTTTATGTTATCTATGAATTAATTTTGATGAAAACGTTATTTCCTCCATTCAAGTGAAGAAAATGCAGGCAGTAAAAACAAATTAATTACTTCTATTCTTCCCTTAGCATCTTTCTCTAATTAACTATTTCCGTGGCAACCTCTTTTCCAATTCCACCTGCCAGAGTCTATTTCCCCTAAACCACGGAGACATCCCAAAAAAAGGAAAGAAAAAAAATATTACACAACCGAGTCCGACGCACCTATGATACATATTAACATATACATAATACATGTACAACGTATAGAAATATATTCAGCACGGGATACTAACGATTTTTTTTTTCATCTCTTTTGAGTAAATTTAGTGATCAGATAATTCATTTTCCAAAATCCTAAACTATCTGAATGAATTTCAGAGTTAGCTGGGGTGGAGCCACTTGGGTCTAGTGGGGGAACTGCACCTCACTGGATTTTGGTCCTGGGTATTTCACCGATTACACTTGAGGGGCGGCCAGTTCTATAAGCAAGGAGAAAGCCATAAACAACAACATCAAAAATTCAAGAGAGATATTGACAGAAAATTGCTGTTGCGTATGGAAAATTACCATCATAAAACAACAATTTTGGAAAATAAATTCTGAGGAGCAGAAAAGTGTTGAGATTAAATCATTAACAATAACCAAATCGAGTTGGAAATCAACGAATAAAGCCCAATTGAATTAAAGCATGTTTCTAAATTAATGTCTGATATTACCTCCCAAGTTTGGTGACGAAGAAAATGACTTATCCTTGCAGAAATTACTGATAATGGTGCCAAGAGGTGATTACCATGTCTCCCTTTTTCGCACTCCTTCACAGTAAATTATTCCCAGTTTACAGTGGGTGCCGTGGGAAAACCGGAAAAGCCATGGTCGCTTGTGGTTGTACCTAGGGGTGGGCGTGGGTTGGGTTGGGTCGGTTTTTGCCCCAACCCAAAACCAACCCAACATTGTCGGTTTGTTCGAAATCCAACCCAACCCAACCCATGTAAAATGATAATGGTGCCAAGAGGTGATTACCATGTCTCCCTTTTTCGCACTCCTTCACAGTAAATTATTCCCAGTTTACAGTGGGTGCCGTGGGAAAACCGGAAAAGCCATGGTCGCTTGTGGTTGTACCTTATCGCTCAATCAACAACACAACGGGCCTTCGTTACAGTTGGATATGCAATTAGGAAGCGATAATTACATGAAATCAGGCCCTTACTTTCACATTTTAAAGGTTTTCAAGTTTTTGTTCATTTATCAGGTTTTTATCTTTTAAAAAAAAAAAAAAATTTAT